AGCTGGTCTTCAGTTCATTACTCATCCCTCCTCCTCAAGCTGATGGCCATTTTGCAGGGAGCATCACAAGGTGGAGGAGCTACTAGAAACCACATCACAGAAAAAGCGAGGTCGGGAGGACCTCTGGAGGTCTCCAGACCACCCTCCTGCTCTGAGCAGAGCTGGCTGCAAAGCTGGAGCAGGTTGCTCAGGAATATTGCCCTATCCTTTTGAAAACCTCCAAGGATGGAGGTGCTGCCACCTCTCCAGGGCTGCACCACTCACCTGAGGAAGAAGTTTTTCCTTATATCCAACCAGCATTTCCCACGTCACTACCCACAGCCTCCTGCCCTTCCCTGTGTGTCTCCAAGACAAGTCTGGCTCTGTCTTGATCCCAGAAATCCAGAATGACTTGTGACAAATGTTATTCACCCACAGAGCCACAAGGACGTTTGCTGTCATTTCCCCGTCGCCCCTAAACACCATGAAGCAAATCCCAAGCAACGAGCAACGCTGTGAGGGTGAGCACAGCACATACCTCACGGCCGCAACAGTCCTCAGCATCCAAGTCCAGCTTTTTGGTAGAAATTGAGTTCTGTTGAATTGAAAGCAAACATAGCCGTGATATTTGAAAGGCATTTGCTGGAATCGCCCAAGTGAGTTTCTAAATCTCATCTCTTCTTGATAAATGCCATAGAATGGGGGATGAATTTCAGGCTACATTTTTACCTCCCCTGAGATTGGGTTCATGATGATTCACAGCCCTCCTAAGAATTACGTCCCTTTGCAATGGTTACTTCAAACTGAAAGCCTCAAAGCCATGAGGGAAAACACAGGCTTGCCTTTGAGACCAGTGTGAAAGGCAGGGACATACTGCTTCTGCTAATGCTCCCAAAATATTACTTATGTTTGAGTAGAGAGGCTGTTTTGTTTTGTTTTTATTTTACAAGTGCAATTTAATTAATGAATGTAAATGATCAAGAAAGTAAGTTTGTTGAGAAACATGGCCTTAACCTCAAGCTGGGTTTTGGATCAGTGAGCACAACTTGCTGGGAATCACGAGTGAGTCAGAATTCAAACGTTGCTTCAAGATACCAGCTGACTCCAGAATTCAGAATGGCAACGTCAGTATACGTGTCCTGCTACTGTTGAACAGCAGAATTAGTCCAGCCATCCCAAAAAAGGATTTTGCAGTTTGGGTGCTTTCCCCAATTAACCTTTTTCTCTGCTTTGTTATTTTGACAGTGTTGGGTTTGGGGAAGACTGAATACCAACCTCCCTTCACAACCAGCACACAAGCCCACATTTCATGTTTCAAGGGGCGCTTTCATATTTGTGGCAGCCTTGCTGAGGCTATTAAAGACAATGGCATATTTTTGTTACCTGAGGAATGGATGAGACAGGAATCTCCGTCCTGGATTTACTCCCCCAGCGCTGGTGGTTGATACCTGCACACGTGCATCTCCCAGCCTGTCGTTTGCATTCCATGGCTTTGTCCACCAAAACCTGGAAAACTGTCAAGGCTGGAGATGCCCCTCTCCAGTGACCGGTCCTGGGCTGCCGCACCCTCTGGGTGAAGGTTTTCCTCAGCTCAGACCTGAACCTGCCAGTTTGTGGCCGCGTCTGCTCCTCGCTTCGTCTGCCACAGCCACCCCCCCCCCACCTCCTCTGTTTGAACCACAGACAAACCTGCCCGGGCACGGGGGTCACCCCTGGCCGAGCTGCACTGCTGCGGGTGGGTGATGGACCACTTCAGGCCTCCCCCTTGGACCACCTGGCCCTGGGGGCACCGGGACAGGCTGGTTCGAGGTGGCCTCCCCGGCTGTGCCCCCGCAGGGCGGCTCTCGGGAGCTCATGGCTCCACAGCCCATGGGGAGCCCTGGCACAACTCGTGACACGCTCCCAGCTCTTCCCTCGTTTGTGCTTAGAGACGTGCTGCTGAGTGGTGCTTGCCCACGGCAGGCAAGGGAACCTGAGGCTTGAGAGAAAGCTTCGGGCACAGCGCTGTGGTTGGATTTGGATGACTAGCCCCGTTTTCCTGCCCAGTCAGAAGTCCTCCCAGCACTGGCTGCAGTCCCTGTGCAGGAAAATAAAACCACCAAGTGATTCCGCAGCCAAGATGCCACCTAGCAGCTGTCTTGCCCAGAAAGCGCATCAACAGATTGGCACAAACCTTGGCCTGCCAGTTTGCCTTGGGAGTTTTCCTTTCACCGCTGCCTTGCAGAGATCATTTTTCACTGTTCCCCCTTCTGAGCGGTCTCCACTGCTACCTTATCTTAAGCTGCCAAATTCAAGGTGACCCCGGGCAGGGCTCTCTGGTGGTTTGTGGGTGGCTGTCACGTCCTTGCAAGCTGCGGGGTCCCTGCTCCCAGCTGGCGTGCTGGTTTTTGCCGTGCACGCCGCAGCGGTGCTCTGCGGAAGCCGGCGGCAGCGCTCGGGTCTGAGCTGCGCTCGGCAGTCAGGCCCTTCCCCCCATCCCAGGGTGGATTTGCAGCCTCAAGCTGACAGCACCCAATTTGCATCCGTGGCTTTGTGGCACCTGTGGCTTCCCGGGAACACGTTGTTGTGGCAAACTACCAGCTCCTCCGATTCTCCTTGCTAGGGCAGCAAAAGAACCCAGTATCTGCCGGACTGAGCCAACTAGACAGGTAAAAACCACCACCACCGTACAAGCAGAATCAAGTTCTCTGTGGTCAGAGCTGCAAATGAACAGGCGTAAAACCCAGACAGGTCTAACACCAGGCCCTGAGCTATTCCTCCACCTCCTCAAGGTAACCTGGCCGGAGGTATTATAGCTCAGACTACCCCGAATGCTGCACAGGGGCTCCCTCCCCACCTCAAGACAGCTGCTACTCTGCCTAGCAGAAGGGTAAGCCCACCCTGCGTACTTGCAACTTGGCTTCCTTTGAAGCTGCAGCACCCCTGGTCCGCAAGCAGAGTTTCCAGTTTTCCTCAAGTCAGCAGAGTGACTCTATGAGAGCGTGTCCCTTGCGGGGGAAGCTCCCGGCCACATCTAACATCGGTGTAGGGAAAGGAGCAAGGGGAAGCAAGGCATCTCAGCAAAGGCAGGATGAGAGAATGGAGGGCTCCAACTTGGAAACCAGGATCAACCACATTCCCAATAGCTTCCCCATGGAGAAGCTCCTGCAGCTCCTATTGCACTCTTGCAGTGCCCCCGTTAGCACCTTTCCCCCCAGCAGGACAGGAGCTCTCCCCCAGCTCTGGCCGAAAGCTCCCGCTACCCCTCATCACCCAAGAGACCTTCCCAAGGCAGCAGATCCTGCAGACCAGGCACGCACGATGAGCAGCGCCGCAGAACAGAGTCACCTTCAAGGACAGGCAATACCAGCCGTGCAGCTGGGAAGGACATACAGCCAAAGCTCTCCCCAAGAGATACGGCACCACACAGCTGGAAGATAATTTTATTTACCTAACACCCACTAGTCCCAAGGACAGAGCAGCTGCTAATTGCCCACTCAGACAGCCCAAGCAGCCCCCTCACTGCCGGGGAGCTGCGGGGCATTTGGGGACCCCCACAGGGACAAGAGGAGGAGCCAGGCAGGCGCCGGCCACACTCTGTTGTGCTGCACCGGGCGGAGAGGCCAGACCTGCACCAGCATGTTCCAGTAAAGCTACGGAGCGGGGCTGGGACAGAGCCACAGTCTGGAGCTTTGCTCAGAGCTGCATTAAAATGCATGAGCTGCACTAGCCCTAATGATGAGCAGAGCTGTCAAACAAGGAGCTTGTCCCAGCTAATTATCTCTAACGAGGGCAGAGTGTCAGGGTCCCTGAGGAGCTGGGCAGCAGCTTCCCACTCAGCTCAGTTGCAGAAGAGGGAGAAGATAAGCAAATGTCATTGTGCTGGCCTAGCTACAAAATCATTAATTAGGCAAATGTGACCTTCTGTGCCAGTTTGCTCTTGAGAGCCTGGACTCACCAGAGCAGAGACATACAGGCAGGCTGGAAACCCCCCAGCTTTTGCCACCCAACCTGTCCCCTGCAGCACAGAGCCTCCTGTGCCCATGCAGACAGCACAGTCCCAGTCTGGCAGCCTCTGACCAACCAGCCCTACCAGCCAGGGGCTGCACAGCTGTGCCACACTCACCTTGGGGCTCAAATACCCCTTGCAAGGGTTCCCACCCATCCCCTGGCCCAAAAAGCAGCAGAGAAGTCTGGTCTTTATGAAATGCCACCATTTAAGTCGCATTCACCTTAACCACCTCCCTCATCCCCCAGCCACCTAGCACAGCCCTGCAGTGGCTCCGTGCCTACCCAGTGACCACCTCCACAGCACCTTGCCACCAAATCTTTAAGGCAGATGCTAAGGCACCGGGAATTTCCACTCCCCTGTGGTCCTTCTCCATCCCAGTGCAGAGGGGACCAGCTCTGTGGACTGCTCCATGAGCCTGCTTTCTCTCTCATCATGGGTCCAGTGGCTCAGAAACCAAGACACTATACTTGCCTTTACATGCTAGTGAGAGGGAACATGTCTCACCCCAAGACACGTTTAAGGCAAAGTCTCTTCTGGGGGCAAGTGACAATCCAGAGATATGGCTCCCACGAGGTCCATCCTGCAAGCTCAGAGCTGAAGGGAAAGGGAGGAGCCAGAAACCCACTGTAGGACCATGAAACTTATAGATGACGGCAGTGACACAGCACTGCTCACTCGCATGCAATGATGGCAAGTGCTTTTCGGTCCCTTGCTGCTGGACAGGAGCAAAGGCTTCAACAGCCACTTCAACTACATTTTTACAAAAGAAAAGATTTCAAAGTCACCAACTTCAAACAGAAACAGCGCTGGAACCCAAGGGGTCAGGGGGAGCTGTATGACCAGCGCCTGCGGCTGGGGAGCTCAGCCTCACCGGCTGGCAGGCACTGCCAGAGGCAGGGGCTCAGGGTCACGCTTTCGGGGCACAATCATCTCTGCTGCAGAAGGCTGGGGACTTGTCTAAGTTATGCCACCACTGTGTCGTGCAGTCCCTGCTATAATATACAAATGAGCAATGACTATCAGAGAAAACTTCACTGATATTCCCAGAACATGTATTTCATTTTATATTGTGATAGGGCTCTCAACAGCAGCCAACTACTTGTACAGGCAGAAGAATCACATCAAGTCAGTCTTACAAGAACACCTTCGGAAGCCACAGGACAGAAATTCTTTCCTCAGCCCACAAGAATGGTTTCTCACTAAATTTAGGCTATTGTTAGACTTCAATAACTGCAGTATGCTTCTGGGCACACTCTTCATGTGGCCCCTTCCCGCACAAGCGTGGTTCAGACAGAAGACTCACTGAACCCCATCGCTTGATCTGCAGCAGGGGTTTTGCTCCAAAGGTTTCTTCCCTTCTACTGCTTCTGCAGCTCCTGTTCTTTCAGTTGTTTGACGAGCTCTTCAGCATACACCTTAAAGAGCGGGACAGGGTCCTGAAACAAAGCAGAGGACGAACCACTTAAAAGGAGTGCAGCTGAGCAGCAGCAAGGGGTGAAGTCCAATGGAGAGCCCAGGGAGCCAGTGCTGCAGGAGTGCTAACAATTAAAACCAGAGGAAGATGCAACTGGGTTTTTTTCAGTAGCTGAACGAGACACAGCTGCTGCTCAGCTCTGTAACCTTGCCTCAAAGATGACGGGCACCTGTGTGGGACATGCGTCAGCTCTTCCAGTTCATCCTGCAGATGAGAATCATCGGTAGCTCCCAGGGATCCCTTTCCTTCTAAAAAAGCCTCCCTCTCTCCTCACACTGCCCTCAACCAGAGCCGTTACCTCAGCACATTGGGTGGGCATACCCCCTGAAGCAGCTGGATCCCCACAGGGCTCAGGGCTCAGCAGATGCCAACCAAAGGCAAAGATGTTCACACAACATGGCACGAGTTATAAGCCATCGCGCTAAATGTCCCTCCTCTGACAGGGGGATTTGGTTTACGATGCACTCCAGCCTAGCCCCAGGTTTTGGGCACCCAGATTTCACCAGGTTCACATGGCGGCTCAGGCATTTCAGAGCAGCATTTCCATCACTCCAGAGTGCCCAGGCTGTTCAGATCAGCTAGACGTGCAGCCTGATGCAGCTGAGACGCCTCAGTGCTAAGCATTACCTCTGGAACTCACCTTTTTTTCTAGGAGCCTCTGTTTTTCTATTGCTTCTTCTAAACTCAGGCCAACCCATTCAGCTTCCTCTTCTGGGATTGCAAATTCCTGGGACAAAAGAAGGAGCAGGTGGCACAGTCTTTCCAGGTGACTGAGATGCAAATCCTGACGATGCCTAACTCACACAAACACACGACCTAGTAGGAACATTACTACAGACAAATCTTCAAACACTGTTCCCTCTGTTCTGGCCACCAGACTCCACTTCCCTTTTCTCCTTTCACCTTGGTGAGGGCCCTGCCTTCTCTGATCAGTTGTGTCTCCTGCTGTACCTCTCCCTTGTGGAGTTCTGAGGCTGTTTCTCAGCACAACTCCACGGACCGTGGATGCTGGTGGTGCTCCTATGTTGTCAACCATCACCAGCTGCACAAAACTAAACCTCACACAGGCAGCCTGGGCTCCTCGCTGCAGCGTCAGTACAAATTCTTGCTGCTGTTGGCAGTGCCAGCTCCTACCTGTGCTTACTGCAGATCCTTGCTGACCTCAATCACAGCAGAACTAGAGGCTTTTTTCTCCCTAAACCATCAGTACAGTAATTAGCAGTCCACAGAGAGACATGAATAACCTGACAAACTATGTTTAGACTTTCTCTGCCCATACCCTTAACCCTAAACACAGAAGCATTAACCCTGGTTTGTGCAGTGACAGGGCGATTAGGGCACTATCAGTCTGGACAAGCAGCAAACATCAGTGCAGACACCGGGGCAGGAGCTGCAGGTCAGGCACCCACCTGGTACTTGTTATAGATGGCCTCTCTCCTGGCTGGGTCATCGGGATGCAGTTTCGGGTCCCGCCGCGCAAGCCTCAGCAGCATCGTTCGCTTCAAATCCATCCCAAGCTTCGAGCCCATATCAACTTTTGGAGTCTGGAGAAATGAAGCCTAATGTTTCATTGCAGCAAGCGACCGGCTGCTAGAGAACAGGCAGGTGCAGCAGCCGCACACAGCCAACGCTGGCGGCTCACCCACGCGCTGCAGGCACCCCGTAATGAAAGGGGGGGAAAAGATCTTTTGGGTTTGCTCTAGAGTAGAGCATCGTTCTGATCTGTAACACCAAGGGGGTGTGAAAGGCTGGAAGCTTTGGGCTGGCACCAACCCGTTGTTTTACCTTGAGGATGTAGAAGTCGAAGCCGTAGGCCTCGTCGATGAGGTCCAGCGTCCGCATGGTGACGGTGATGGTCAGCGTGGCGTCGAGGATCTCGCTGTAGAACTGCCGCTCGAAGAGCTGCGGCTTCCACACCTTGGGCAGCCTGGTGGAGAGCTGGGCCGAGACCGGCGGTCGGGGGCGCCGCCTTCCCCGGGGGGTGCCCCCCGCCTCCCCTCCCCGGGGGTGCCGCAAGGGGAAGACGGAGGCCGGTGTCCCGCCCCGCCCCCAGGGCACGGAAAGCCCGTGGCGCTCACCTTGTCGTTCCGCGCATACCGGAAGCCGATAATCCACCCCTCGCCGCCCCAGAGCCCCTCATCGGCTGCGCGCGGCCGGTACACCGGCACCGGCACGTCCTGCACCCGCTCCCGCTCGCCGGTGCGCGGGTTCCGCCGGTAGCGAACGCCCAGCGGCCGCCAGTGCACGGGGGTGGGCGGCGTGTCGTCCTGCAGCGCCGCCAGGTAGTGCGCCGGTAGCCGAGCGCAGATGCCTTCCCGCAGCCGCAGGGAGGGCCAGAGCCGCGGCGCGTACCGGTGCAGCGGCATGGCCGCCACCGGCACCCCCACCCGCCGCTTCCGCTCCCAGCAGCCAGCGCGCCCGGAAGCCGCGCTTCAGCCACCCACGATTGGCTGGCGCGGCTCCCACAATGGCGGCGCCCATAACCGAGGCCCACCCAGCCCCGCCGGCCTCAGCTCCACCCGCCACGGCTTTGCCCTCCAATACCATTACCTTTATTAAATTATAAAACTGTAAGCTTTAAAATTTACCGTATAAAATAATCACAGATATTACCAGCAAAGAAAAAAAAAAAATCCCACAACCTTTCCCCCCCACCCCCCAGACAATTCGCTCAGATTTTACCCAAAATAATTAACATCCCCCCCCCTCCTCCTCCCAGGCACCTAACACAGCCGTGAGCCAGGGCCAGCAGTCGCAGGGGTGGGAGACAAAAGCAGAATTTCAACAATCAAACATAAAATAAACAATCACGTTCGCAGGATTTCTTGCCCCAAAGCTTCGTCCCGCTTTGCAGCGGAGAAGCCCCTGAAGGAAAAGGAATTACTGAATTATTGCTTTCTCTGGGAAATGGCAGCACCTGGGCCAGAGTGGCAGCCCGGCGCGGACGGCATGGCTGTGAGGGAGCGTCGGTCGTCTGCCACAGTGCCAGGGCTGTAACACCGCTGTGCAAACCCAGACGAGGGGGGGAAAAAAGTGCCTAAAAGTGATAAAAGGATGAGGAAGCCCTGAGGGCCCCGCGCTCGTCCCCCCTTCCCGCCGCGCTGCAAGGGAATGCCGGGGGACATGGGGATGGAGGACACCGCTGGGCGCAGGCGAGTGCCCTTCGCTCGTCCTGCGTCTGTTTAAAAAGTCAGAGTTTGCAGAGAAAGGAAAGGGGGGGGGGGGGGGGGGAGCGGGGGGAATAAAGTGCAGAGCTGAGAAGAAGGCTGGGTGCTCCTCAAAGCAAAGAAATAACCCCGAGGCAAATTCTTCATTAACAGCTCTTTCCTCCCTAAAGCCACCTGAGGAGGGGCTCCCACACCAGACAGACCACAACTGGAAGAAACCAGCGTGGAATGATGTCTTTGAGCCCTTATCTATCGGGCAAAGACAGTTTTCCTGGTTGCCAAGTTTCTGCCCTTGCCTTCCGACACCTGCGTGCCCTATAGTAAGGCTAAGGTGAGACAGATGCTGCCAAGGAGACCGCAGCCATTCGGGGAGCACATGGCGGTGCTCCTGGCCCGGTGGGACACTGCCAGCAGCCTCAGATGAGCCATGACTCCGCAGCACATCCAGCCTCCGAGGCACAGCAGGCTGGAGAAGCAGGAGGTGTGCGGCTTGGACACAATCCCGGACCACCTATGCTGCCCCCGGCAGAGCTGTGCACATGCCAAACCCACAAAAGGGAGGAAGACCGTGAATACCTGAACATTGAGAGATGAGGGGGAGAGTGCAGCAGCTTGGCTCCTTCCAGATCAGCTAAGAGGGCTAAAGTTAAACTTAGACTAAACTCTGCACTGCTGCGGGTTTCACAGCTCTGGGTGAGATGCTACTGATGCCTCTTGCATGTCCCCACATGGGTTTTTTTCACATTCCTGCCAAGTCTGATCCTGAATCCGGGACCCAAGTCTCAGCCTTGTTCTTCCCCTCCCCTGAGCCAGGACGAGTTAAGAGCAGCACCGCCTATTTCCCAGGGAGAGAGGCCCCAGACCCCCATGGAGATGGCAGCCAAGGGCCCGGCGCACGCCAAGATCAGCTCCCTCTCTCCCCATCAGCACCAAGGGCATGCAGCATCATTTGCCCCCCCCAGATCAGAAGAAACCCGTTCTTTTCGGTTCAAATGCTGATCGCAGGGGAAATCCCTGTCCCACAGCCCTCTGCTAGGACAGGGCGTGCAGGGAAGAGCCCAGCAGCCAAAGCCCTGACTCCAGCTCAGCATGGGCTAAGCCCAAGCCTCGTGGACACAGCAGGAGGGGAAGGAGGGTTGGTGATTTCCCCCAGGGCCATGGGGAGCTGGGGGACAGGCTATTCCTTGATCTAGAACGGTGAAGAGCCTGCCCTGTCCCAGCAGAAAAGCAGAGGTGGCCTCAAACTTTCCTTCACAAGGTAAGCCCACCATCTTCATCTTTAAACCCAGTCCATACTGCGTTCTCCCGGTCGGTGAATGAGCATGTGAGAGGATTGCCAACGTGCGAGAGCTGGGCAGCCCAGGCAAAGAGCAACCTCACCAGCCCTCCACCTCTGTGACCGGGAGCTGAGCAGTTCAAGTCACAGCATAGAGCTCCTCACGGTCATTCTGGCAGATCTGATAGCGACAAGTGAGCTTCTGTGACCAGGCCCAGGGCTTCTTATGCTTGTCCCGAGGAGGAAGCAGGAAAGCAACGCTGCAAGCCACCAGCACATGCCAGATGCTGTGGGTGTAGTAATAGTTCTCATTGGTTTCCATGAATGCATATACTGAGATGGCAATGAAAGCCAAGGTGATCCCTGGGAGGAGGTAGAAAACCCAGCGCTTCCATGAAGAGGGGTAGCAGTGTTTGCGCTTCACTCCATGGTAAACCTGGAGGTGTGAAAGCACAGAAGGGTTAAGCAGCCAACCAGAAGCATAGGCAGGGGGAAACGGGCAGCGCTGTTTGACGCAGGAGCATCTGCCAACCTCACAGCAAGAGGCTGTGCCTGCTGCCCCTGAGAAATTCAGCCTCCTCCCTTCCTGGACCCATCTCCGGTAAGCAAGAGCCCCTTATCCAGCTGTGGCACCAAAGGCCAGCAGGCAGGGGACAGTGGTGATGCCTCAGCTCCTGCTCAGGGCATGGGCAACTGCCAGCCATTCTGGGATAGCACTCCAGCCACAGGTGTGTGCTCAGCTGGAGCTGCTATGCCGAGAACTATGTTGAGACCCATAACTGGGGAATTTCTCAGCTACTGGAGGGATGAAAGGTAAATCCCCTGCCCTCCCTCCACCTGGGTGTGTTAAGAAAGTCAAGCCCTGCCTGTGGATCGGCTGATGTCTGGGGTCTGCTTTGCCACCATTGTTCCCCAGAGGGGATCTAAGGGCAGCAGGTCCTGTCTGGCTGCCCTTACTTACCCATGCAGCAATCATGATGACGAGGGCAAAGAGGCAGGGACCCATCATGTTCCACACCCCTCTGCGGTCCAGCTGCAGGGACATGGCAATTAACAGGGTGCCCAAGATGAAAAGGACCTGGGAATGAGACACCACCACTAATGTCAGCAGCTCATCTCCTGCCAGAGCACAGCCACCCATGGCAGGGGCAGGGAGGACCTCGTCTCCTAGCCACCCAGCCCTGCATCCATGCAGGACTCAGGAGCAGCACCTTCAGAAGGAGAAACCAGAGGACCCACAAACCTTTCCCACAAATCACAGTCCCTTCAGGCCCAGTCTCTAGGAGCGTGTGGCTTCATGATCCAAACTCCTGGGACAAAACCACCCACTGGTCTAAAAATCAGGGTGGCATTGGGCAACAAACAGGCTTTGTCACTAGGCTGGGCTGTGTCATTAAAATACAGCCATGAGATGGCTCAGCATGGCCACCCGTGGCTTGGCTGGCTCAGGTCTGGCCTTGCCGCACGAGGTTGTGACACTCACGTATTTCAGGATCTTCTTCACCCGGGACATGCACAGGATCGTCACCCAGATGGACACCACAGAGCCCAAAAAGTCACAGTACTGTAGTGTGTCGTAGTCCATGATGCACATCACTGCGACGCCTGGCTGGTCACACGCATGGTAGAACTAGAGCCAGGGACAAAAGGAAAGGCTAGCGTGAATCCAGCAGCACTACATGGCTTTCTGGGAAAGAGAGGTAGGAGAAGGCTCAGCCCATGGCAGCCAGGACCCCTCCTGGCAGTGCCTTCAGGAAGCTCCACCAAACCACCGTGGCATTACAGAAAGCAGAGAGCAACTTGCGCCCTCCCAGCAGCAGCTGAGAGCTCCTAAGACAGCACCCTTCAAGTGCTCAGTGCTCCAACACCATCTCCACTCCCTGGGGTCCCACCCTCAACTACGAGCACCCAGTGTGGGTGGAAGAGCCCAGTGAAAATAACACTCCTGCCAGACTCTGAAGGGGCAGGACATGACCATGGAGGTTCTTGTCCAATGATCCTAGAAGCTCCCTGTGGAGCTCCAGGATGGACTGCTCCACCAAGGACTTCAGTCTGATGCAGCATTCCTGATGCTCAGGGGGAGCTTGCAGGGGACCCGACTAAAGGCAATCCCTACCGTGGAGAAGAACATGGTGTAGGTATAGACGGAGGCCTCCACCAGGTAGTAGCGATAAACAGCAACCGCTATTGCCGGCAGGAACATGAGGTTGCTCAGGGTGAGCAGGAGGGTGGCCAGGTTCTGCACACCGACAGACTGGGCCTTGGTGTCGTCCGTGCAGCTCCACCCGCCCCAACCTGCGGAGCAGAGAGGCTTGTGTGGATCTCGGGTGCCCTACGTTGTCCTCCTGCAGCACCCAGCAGGAGCCTGGGATGCCTCAGAAGCAGCAATCACACCCCAGGATTATCCCTGAGCCTCCTCTCCCTCGCTCCATCAGACACTTGCACTCCTGTTCTCAGGATGGTGTCATTACTCATTGCATTCTCTGCTGTGGAAACTCTTGGGGAACCCCAGGAGAGTCCCATATCTGCTCTGAGGACATCCCCCAGGTTGTTCCCATGTAGCAGGGGCCATCCTATGTACAGTATGGGTCTGTGCAGCCTGGTACTTTTCATCCCTACAGTAACTCGACACACGTGCTACAGGCAGGTGATACATCAAGCGTTTGAGGCTCAGATGCCATGGATGATGCTGTAAGCTGGGTGCAAGTTCCCCGCAGATCCCAGGAACCAGGGTGGAGAAAGATCCACAGCACCGTGGAAGCCTGTCCTACCACCTCTCACAGCAGGGCAGACTGCAAAGCCAGGTCAGGTTGCCTTATCCACCTGAACTTTCAAGATCTCCAAGGATGGAGACCTGGATACTGTGTGAAGCTGAACAATTCTCCTGGGGGAAAATATGTCATCTTTGATTTAGCTGAAAGTTTCCTTGCTGCAACCTGTGACTGTGGCCTCTGT